GTCGGCCCAGGACCTGAATCTCCATCTCCTTTTGTCCTCTATTATTCCAAGTGGTGGCACTATCTGTGCTAGCGCTGCCTGTGATAGACCATTTCTTTTTTTTAATAAAGAAATTTGAGTGTTTATTACTTGTTTTGTATTTTGCTGCAGAACTGTTGCTTCAACTGCATAAATTTGCTACAGCAAATGCAGTATACGGCAAAAGTAAAATAGTAATATTCCTTCACATCATACAAAACACCCAAACTCTTTTCTACTCTGTTATTTCCAGGGGAGATTATTATGTATTTTGACTTAGACCCAGGGGTGGATATAATCAAGAGCATTTTTTTAAACCTTGATTATTTTAAATATAATAAGAATTTATTAAAGGTCAGTTCACATTCAGGTGTGAAAATTTATGGCCCTGAGATCTTCATCAAAGGGTGATCTCAGGTATCATTTCAAGCTTTTCTATGCTGTGCCCAAAATTCCAAGAGAAGAAGGGATTGTGGTGTGACCATTCCCTTGGATATGCTTTCTCACTTTAACTCTGCCTATCTCTCTCCAGTCAGTGCACATACTATAGGTGAAAAACCTATAAAACGAAAAATTCTTGTTTTTACTATCATTGGTTTCAGTGACTCTTTAGATTTCAGCCTTGTTTTATTTAGTTTTTAAAACCATTCAGGAGTAGGTTATTTTATTTTCATGTGCTTGTGTATTTTTGAGGGTTCTTTCTGCAGTTAATTTCAAGTTTAATTCCATTGTGGTAAGAGAAAATGTTGGCTATAGTATGCATACATTCGAATTTTTTCACCAGGGCTCCAGGGCTTTATTAGAAATGGAGTTGACTGCTACAGAGGCCCTGTATTACATTTCTTTGAGGCCTCTTCCCTCTCTTCACATCCCTCCCTAGGGGAGGTCCAGAGGCCATTCTAAAAGATAAATCTGGGTACAGTACCAAATGTCAATACTTTCTCCAAAGTCCTCTTCATCAGCTGATTTGTTCTTCTCACTGTATTTGTAAATTTTCTCATAGAAAATGTAATACCTTTAGCTATCATCTTCAAGGTCCTCCATGTATACATCCTAGGAGTGTGTCTTTTGCTTTTTTTTTTTTTTGTTAACCTTTGTGTTCTGGTTCACTAGTCCTGGCTGACTTTGAGGGGGTTTCTACCTCCAGGACTGCCTCCTCTTTCTGGGCTAGCCAGATCTGCCGAAGGACTTTTCTGCACTTTTCTGTGCAGAATGTTGGAACATGCACTATCCACTTACTGAAATGGTGGCGCATGATCAGTCCTTGGTCCACCACAACCCCCGCCACCAGGTGCCTAAGTCAGTCGCTGCTCCCAGCTTGAAAATGTTCCTATAGTTGAATAGCTTGTTCAGCTCTGTTTAGGACTGCTGATCTTTCCCCTCTGAGGACCATGTCTACTATACATTGGAATTTTTTTAGTAGTGGCGTTTGGGTCAAAGTGACACGGCATGTGCTGAAAGGCTCAAGGTCCCAAGGTAGATT